ACGACTTTAGGAAGTACTGGTGGTTTAAGGGTGAAGGACAGAAACAGCCCATTCATTTCCGGAAGCAGAAAAAAACTCTCGCCCGGTTGGGACGCACCTGCACAACTGCACGTCCAGGAAAAGATCATGTACCTGAGCATCCACATGTCCAGGTGCATTCTGAACGGGCTACCCCGTATTCCCCCGCACACAACGCCGCCTAACCGTGACTGCATTGGAACTGGAGAGACAATTTGTATACATTCATGATTGGGCTGCGTTGTGTTCGGGGGAAGACCGGCAGTTTCTGCTTTCTAAAAATAGCTGAGCGAGCTGTACATGTAATTCTCTCTTGTTCTCTGCCTTCTTTTCCTTCTTTTTAAAAAGAATGCTGACGTTTCTATTTCCGTCCATCGTGCACAGCAGGGTTTGCCTTAAACAATTGAGGTCGCACTTACTCGGATTTCTCGTTTCAGGTCATAAAATAGATCAAACAGATCAACGACCAGGAAATTCAATGAGGAATCCGGGTATGTGGGACCTTGCCTCAAGAGACTTGCATTTTAATAATCATGAACGGGCACGATACACTCTCGCACTTTTTTCTTTTTTCCTTACCAGTTCTCGATTTATGCGTGTCATCCTTGCGCAGGGGCCATTTGCTGATTACCCTTCTCTGTATCGTTCCAATTTCAACGGATGTCCCGAAGGGCCGATACACCCTTGCTACCTTGGCTAGACAGGCTTCCTGCGGAGGAGAAAAAAAACAAAAACAAAAACAAAAAAGGGTTGCTCCAAGCAGCCCGTTCGATTGCACACTCAAGCCCTACCCGCTCCCTTCTTGTTTGGAACTGTTTTCACCGTCTGTCTGGTGTTCTCTCTCATACCAGGAACAGACGGGGACCATGGATTGCTTTCTTCGTTTCAGACCCTCGATTAGGAAGATCGACGGCCGAAATGAAGAATCCCCGCGAGCGAGAGCGCTCCAGTGACAGAAGCAGAGCGATTTGGTGCGCGTGGTTGGCCGAAAGCACATATTTTTATTTATTTTCAACGCTCTAAAAAACGAAAACACGAACATATTTTCGTCCCATTGTAGAAAGCACAAAGTCATTTGCACTAGATAATATCATTGCTCCTAGAGTTGTAAATAATAAAAATATTATAAACTCTGTCAATCGTATTCCAGAACATTTGATATATTCAAGTGGACAATGATGGAATCATAAATCATAGCCTTGGCCATGTGGTCCGTTGAGGCACAATCAAAGGAAAAAACAACAAAAACCTTCCTCACACGCCCAATCATGCAGACTGAGGGAGCAGAACGGACGATCCATTGAGCCCCACATTTATAAAAAAAAAGCAAAAGAAAAAAGCCTTGCTTACACGCCCATGCAGGCTGAAAAGCAGAACGCACACTTGCATCCGCAAGACAGACAACCCTACTGCATCTTGGCCATTGATCTATACCATCCACGCCAACCCCTCCCAACTCCTCCCAACACCCAGATCGGATGACACGCACAAATCGAGAAATCTTCTCCAGCCTGCCTTTCTGGACCTTTTGGCTAAGATCAAGTGCAGAGCATATCTTCTTCTTCTTCTTCTTCTTCTTCTTCTTTTTCTTCTTCTTCTATACTCAGCAGGCTGGGAGGACAGTCGGCGGGCCGCCAGGCATGGTTGTGCGGAAAGCCCCCTAAGGATGATCGGAGCGCAGCCGATCGGAACGCGCATCCGGGAATGAGCACATAAGCTGAGACTAGTATGCGCGGCTGTGTATTGGAGAGCTTTCGAATCGTGTACGAAAGGCAGTTGGCCCCTGTTTTCACCGTTCACTACACTATTCTTCTTCTCCTTGTTCTCCTTCTTCTTTTAAGTGTAGCATATCTTCTGATCAGTTTAAATTATTAAACAGGGGGGGGGGGAAATCTCTAGTACGAACGGAGCCCACAAGCCCCTCTGGGCTACAGGGAATAAATCATTTACTTTCTCATAATTTCTGGTCATTTAGAGAATTTTTTCGATATGTGCATCATCCTTGTCCAGCACCCATGCAGGTCTTCTCTGTGATCATCATTTTCGATTTTAATGGATTTTCCGCAAGCAAATGCTTTTCCAACAGACAAGCATCAACAAATGAACCTTTCCATACAGATTGTGACATAACTTAATACTTGTGTTTTCTTACTACTGTTCTTAATACACCTTTGGTTGGTTTTCCCCAAGGAGAAACTGACCTTCAGCCTCCTTTTGTACGTCCCTTTCAAAACCCAGAAGAAGGGGGGGGAAATCAGATGATCCACTGAATCGTTTTTTTTTTTTTTTTTTTCAATGTTAGAAATACATCTTGAAACGGCCCGCGGAATCTTTTTCTTCCTAATTAATCCGATTACAATGGACGCTGTCGAAGACCCAAGAAAAACATATCTCCAAATGAATCCACTGACTAGTTCTTTTTTCATTTTAAGAAATACATCTGCAAATGGCCCATGAACTCCTTTCTTTTTTTTTTTTTTTTTTTTTTTTTAAGAAAGCGACAGAAGTCTATTGCAAACTGGCTTTATGGGGAAAGCCGATTTTTTCCCATTTACGGGCTTCCCGTTATCCTCTTTTCGATGCATTTCCTTTTTTTTTCGTCGATACATTTCTATCCAATGCATTCCTCTTCAAAAAAAAAAAAAAAAAAAAAAAAAAAACAAGACAAGAAAACATGTGCTGCTCGTCCTCCAAATCATCGCGTTTTCTTTCTTTCAACCTTCACATTCAGCTTGGCTTGCAAAGGTACATACTGAAACTCACGTTGAACCAAATGGCCTAGCTCAGTTGGTACACCCCCCAACTGTTGAGATACGGACTCGAGTTCCAACTCCACTGGAAGCAGATGAGTAAAAGATTAAAGATTGCTATAATTCTGAATTACCTACGGCCGGTCAGTTCGATGACGATATCGCAAGGCCGTCGCCCTTACTAAAAAAGAAGAAAATAAGAAAATAAATTCACGTTCAGGTGTATTTGGTCGCTTTCTTGGTTCACGAGGGGCTGCCTGAGAGAAAGAAATAAAAAAGGACATTTTTTTAATGATCGAAGGCGCAAGAGCGCTCTTTCCTTTGTTTGATTGAGATGGCGGGAAGAGGGAAGGGGAAAGGGAAGGGAAAAAGGTACAGGGGCAGCGGAAGGGGAAGAGGGAAGCGGAAGGGGACGGGGAGGGGAAGGGGAGGGGGAGGGGGAAAGGGGAAGGGGGAAGGGGGAAGGGGGAAAGTGAAGGGGAAGTGGGGAAGGAGAAAGGGAAGCGGAAGGGAGAGAAGATGTGTTGTGCTTCATTGTTTCGCAAAATTTCTTGTCGCGAATTCCGTTAAACCCACGCTACATGTAGTTCACTACTTTATTTTGTTACGAAAAAAGTTCAATTTTGTCCATGCCGTGATATTGCCGTCGCTATTCCCCTGGAAAAACATTTGTCAATCAACCGCTCGGTGATTTCGTTTGCAATCTTTATTTGGAAAAAAAAGAAATGATTTTGATCGTTGTCTTTTATCTGTAACACTGCCGTCGGCAATCCCGGGAAACAGTACCCAATCGGTTTGGTATCTGCGCGGAAGATCCTGAGACGTGATAGCAATTTCCTGCATGACAGCAGCTCAAACCACATTCCCCTTCTCTCCCAATCCGTCTCCCAGAATTTCTCGGTCCACACCAGCTGCTAGAGGGGAATTCCCCTTCAAGATGCTTGTTTGCGTTGCCTGGCAGCTGCACTGTTACACAACCACCTCCCCTCAACCGCACGGTGGGCACACACATGCAAAGTCTGCATGCAGATGACGCTCTCTCTCTCTCTCTCTCTCCCCCTCTCTCTCTCTCTCTCTCTCTCTCTCTCTCTCTCTCTCTCTCTCNCTCTCTCTCTCTCTCTCTCTCTCTCTCTCTCTCTCTCTCTCTCTCTCTCTCTCTCTCTCTCTCTCTCTCTCTCTCGTCACAAATAGTATCTATCTATCTATCTATCTATGACAATATATATATATATACATACATATATTTTTGGCACAGGTATGCATACTCTTTATCGCCACATGTGCTATCCTCTCCTCCTCCCAACAACGACTCTGCAGAGAGATCACCCCTGTTTCTCTTTTTTCTACAATCGTCCTCTCTCCATCCCGTGATACGACCGTCCTTCTTTGACCTCCGCTCTTCTCTTTTAAAGACCCTTTTAGCCACGCCCCAGGAGACCCTTGCGTGCCCCACCCTCTGCCGTAATTTTTTCCGACGTAACGTCCTGCTTGCTACACTTGTGCTATATGATCGTCTTAACTGACCGCAGCAAAAGGAAGAATCGGCTGAGCAGTATGGCGTTGAGCCATCGGGAGAAAAACGGAGAGACTCTGAGGCAGAGTGTAAGAAGGAAAGTGGGTTTGCACGGGTGAGGGTCGGAAAAAGGGCCACTTGACAGAGGGAAGAAGAAGTTATTTGAAATCCATTGAGAAAGGACAGAACAGCCGAGTCGGCGGTGATGAGCACTAAGGCGAGAACCCATCTTTCGCCGAACACAGCCCATCTTCATCATGCATGTATCGGGCCTCAAAGGTAGCTTGCATACATTCATGGTGAAGGGGCGTTGTATTGAGAGAAAGCCGGGAGCCGGCAGAATGGTAGTAACGGGTAGGAAGTGACAGGAAAATAGATAGAGACCGCACCTGTTTAGTGCCTCTTCAAGTAATCTCTGATCTTCAGCTGTCCATTCCGCCGACAAAACGGGATGATGTAGAAGCTGCTGTTGAATATCATTATGCGGCTGTTGTTGTTGTTGTTGCTGTTGTTGTTGATGTTGTTGTTGTTGTTGTTGTTGTTGTTGTTGATGTTGTTGATGCTGCTGCTGTTGTTGTTGCTGCTGCTGCTGCTGCTGCTGCTGCTGCTGCTGCTGCTGCTGCTGAGGTGGCGGCTGGTGATTCGTTGTCAAGTGCAATGGTTGCTGATGTGTCATTTGCATCTGATGCCCAGGACGAGCGGGTGTCTGAGCATTGGACAGAGAAATAGCAGCCGAAGGAGAAGGAGGAGGAGGAGTCGTAGCACCAGAACCAGCAACTGCAACCGGAGCAGTAGCAGCACCAGAAACAGCAGGAGGAGGAGGAGGGGGAAGAAGGGGAGGAGGAGGGAGGGCCAAGGGAGGAGGAGAAGCAGGCTGGGCGGCAATCGAAATCGGTGGAGACAGTGGGACGTATTCCGATTGCAACATCTGTGTACTATGACACGTGTCATCATTCCCGAGAATGCTGCCGTCACCCTCCGCTGACGTGGCAAGCAGTCCGGCAGCTGCGAGGTCTACGTGTTCAGACGGCGATCCCGGACATAGATCGGATATGTCCATCATCCGATTCTCAGTGTCAGAGTCTGTCTCCGTCTCCTCCCCCGTCCCATTGGCTCCGAGCTCCTCTCGGCATTCGGCATCCAGTATTGCCACATCATTCGCCTGAGGTTGCCCATTAGCCGTTCCAGCCTGCGGCCCGACTCCCATCTCGCCCATCCCGACACCGACACCGACACCGACCATCGCCACCACAGGACCCATTCCACCGTGCTGCCCATCAGAAGCTGCAGGTGTTTCCGATCGCGACCCGGACAAGGACCTTGTCAGCGACGACGGCATTAGCGCGCATGTGGCACTGTCAGCGCCACAATTCTGCGCGCGTGCACGGGACTCCGTCCCACCCCACACTCCACCGCCTCCTCCCGCGTCCTCTTCCCGGCCTTACCCCACCACCACCACCGCCGCCGCCGCCGCCGCCGCCACCGCCGCCGTCTCCACCTCTTCTCTCTCCCTCAGTCCTTTGCTCTTTGTTCTTCTTCATCACTTCGTAGTTCCAACCCTGTCATCCCCTCCTTCATGTCAACCAGCACGTACCCAGCACGATCCCCCGATCCTACCCCGACGCAAACGCAGCAACTGCCAATCCCAGCTCCGGTAATGGTCTCCCAACAGTGTGCGACCGCCGCCTCCAGTGCACGACCTCGGAAGCGAGTTATGGCGCTATGGCGTCCCGACCTCCCCTGCCACGATGAGAACTGCTTGTGTTTTTGGTCATACAAATACAAACTAAAATTTGGACTTGAAGTTCACACAAGTAGGTTTTCGTCGTTGTACCGGCCTGCCGCGGTAAATTCTCTTTGTTTGGTTTCCTTCAACCTCGAACCCCTCCCGCGCCGCAGCAGTCGCCCCGACTGCTGCCGCCCACCGAAATCTGCGCACACTTTTCTGCCCGGCGCTCAACTCAGCGGTCGGCCGGAGCCTCGGCACCTCCAAGAAGGCCGGGGCAGCGGCGGAATCTGCCGTAACGGACGCCGCGTCGGAATCTTCCTCGACACCCGGCGCAACTTTTCAGTTGGCGGGCTTTTAGGTTCGGTGTAGCCTTCAAAAGCCAGGGGCGGGAAAGCTCCAGCAGATTTTCTTTTTGGGTCTCTTTCCAGCCAAGACCGAGCCCAGGCCAAGCAGGCTCGGGTGTCCTTCGGGACATTGGAACGATACAGAGAAGATTAACGTTGCCCCTGCGCAAGGGTGACAAGCATAAATCGACAAAAAGCAGGCTCGGGCACAGTTCTCTGTGGCAAACCGGTCCCACTTGCACGCGTTTTCCCTTTTGGGCGGTCTATCTCCACAATCTATGGCAAGAAATGAAAAACAAAGCGCTAGTGGGACCTGCCCACGTTTTGTGACCTTGGATGCGACGTCGAAAATTCAAACCGTCCAATACGAACGCCTTTGTTGTTTGGTTTCCAGTTTTTCAGGGAAGGAGGTTGGCATCGACAATTTGACGTAGTACCAGTTCTCTGTGGGGGCCAGGCCCCACTTTCCCCAATCGTCATTCTCAATCTCTGACAGTAGATTTTTTGTTTTCTTTTTTTTTTCGGGGACAGTAGATTTAAAAAAAGAGATCAAAGACAAGAAATGAAGAATCAGCGTAAGTGGGACTACCTAGGGCTCGGCTTGCTTAGCATTATGCCTGCAACAACCTACGCTGTTTGGCGCTACGCCAACCCTGGCAGTTTTTCTTAGACGCTATCCTGGGTTGCCCTCCTTGGAACAACCGGGACTACGGTTGGGTCCCACCAATGACAATTGACTCTTCAGGTCCTCTTCATCGGGTCCTTTCATTCCATATATCGATGGCCAAAGACTCTTCCAAGTTCCTTTTCACATACATGTGACGCGCAACCTCACGCCCTGCGCTGTCTTTCGTTCAGAGTGCCAAAGGTGCGGAAGGGAGGCCACGAAAAACAGCAAAATGGGGTGTGCCAAGGATTTTTGGAAGATTGAGTGTGGGGACACAGATGGAACTGAAATCCCCCATGTTGGTCCAATGAAGTGAGAGATCTGGCGGGTCTCGGCGCGCGCGGGATTCGTGATGCGGGGAAGTTTAAATTCAATCCAGAAACTACTGTCGGACTTCCCACCGGGCCACGGCTCGGCGTTTGGAATGGAAGGGAGCGGGCACATATTTCGTATCCCGTTTCCGCACTAGCTCCCGACGTCGCACATTGCACAATTTTGAATCCGACGTGGACGGTCTTAATCGCGTGGCCCTTTCCTTGTGCTCATCCTCATTCCGTGTTCGGTAGTGGAACCCCCTCGATTGGTAGTGGTCGAGGCGTTGGCAATCACTACACAAGGTGTTAGGCCAATGGGGCGCTACTGCCGACCACGGGATGACGATCAACTCGTTAAATGGTAATAGCAGCGAGTACGGCGGAAAGTGCGTATCGACGATGATAAACCCAGCGCCGACAAACCCAGAACATCGATTTTCGGGAGGGAAGTAGTATTGCCCACCGATCTTGGCGACGGCTTCTCGTATGTCCCACTCACAGATTCGCGTCCTATCCTCGTTATACGGGAAGGGGTGGAGAGGGGCTACGGGAGGCTGGTGCCTAGTCGGGTTGAGCCCGTTAGTCCACATGGCAATCAATCAAGAATATTTTAACCATTCATCGCGTGCATGCAATCCTATCAATCCAGTCGGAACGGTCAGATAGGAGAAACAGAGGGTTCAAAGAAAGAAGAAAAGCTCATGTGTGGCGAGACGCGGCCGCCATTTCGTGCTCAGATCGTGCGTGGCGAAATCGCATATATACTCACAACACTTCTTCGATAATCACAAATCAAAACATTCTTGCACTTCCAAATCCCAACAACATTGCCCCTGCCATCGACTCGTCCTAGTCAAGATGGGTTTCGTACCCGTTCATTCCCATCTTCCATGCATGCATTCACTGTGGAAGGTGCGAAAATGAGAGTCATGCAATTTTCCCAACAAGGTGGCGTAAAAGGAAGAATCCTTAATGGTTGATACACGCGCATCCACCGTTCACAAGACAAAACCCACTAGATCGGGGGACTACTACCCAGGAAACTAATGGAAGAGTTCCGGAAGAAATCATTCCAACACAGTCATCATACTCATTCCATCACACGCCAACTTTTCGCTTATTACATAGAACCATCCACATCAAGGAAGAAGGAGAAGGAGAAATGCGACAGAGATAGACAGAGATATCAAGATCAGAGAGAAAAGTTACACTGAGATTGAGAGAGGAAAAGAACTTTACCGCCGCAGAGTCACACTAAAGAATAAATTCGTAACCAAGAGGGCGCACTTGCCATCAAATTCCAACACGGTCTCGGGCCATTCATCCACTCAACTCAGATCACATGTCCGCATTCTGACACCGACGTTCCCGGTTGTCGCGCATCATCCTCCACCACTGCGATCGTCACCCCGTCAACTTAGTCCCGACGTGGCTTGCCTGGATCCCACAGTCCGTCGTGGCGATCTAGCGCACCACCAGCCAGTCTACAGTCGGCTCGTCAAGACTTTTCGAGTTGCACCGTACACATCACCTAGCCACTACTTCCCAGAAGCTGGCCGATGAGTTGGGAGAGAGTTTTGCGGGGGCGCCGACGAAATTTATAGCTGCGAGATGAGAGAGAGACGCGGGGGAAAGCGAAGGGTGAGGCAGAGGAGGGTATAGGAGAGTTTGGGAGTGACCGCCCATCGAAAGTCATGTTGATCCCTCCTAACTCGACCGCAACCAATCAGAATCGTTGTGCAGTAAAAACTTACACGACGCTTCTCCTTGGCTAGATGGGAGAGAGGATCGACTGGGTTTTCGAGCGCGGATCTTAGAGCGGAAAGAACAGGAGCGCGAAGGATAGCATGAAATGGTCCAAGATTCAGATGATCAAGAAGGAGAAAGAAAAAGGGCGCGCGCTGAGAAGGAGAGGGAAAAGCAGTTACAGGGGGCAGTGGCGAAAAAGTGTGTGCGCGCGAAGAAGGACGGTGAGGGGAGCGCAAGGGAGGAAGGAGGAGGGAGCTTGCTTGCATGCGGCCGATCAGCAAAAAGGGGAATGGGCACCAAGAGAATTGCAGTCTTTTCCAATCCTACTCTAATTCAAAAATTGAAAGTACCATATCTGCACGCAAAACAGGCACGGGAAAGAAAGTCTTTCGTCCATCCATATTCCTACAAGAATTCCCAGAGTTTTCAAGGTTGAGGCCGAGAACATTCGCGCGTGGAAGGTCGCGCGGCATTCCGATAATTCCGGGATTTCTAAATGTCGAGCCAAATTCCAAGCACACTCGCTAAGGCGCGCGAAATTCCTATGCATTTTCAATCAAAACGACACAAAAAAAAAAGAACTGACAGATGTGCGCAAGGTACCTTTAATCGGGCACAGACAGAGAGGGAAAGGGGGGGGGGGGTCTTGGGGTCGAATCGTACACATCTGGACGTAGAGAAAACATGAGAAAAAGGAAGGGGTCCAAAAGATGGCCCAGGTCCGAAAGCTAGTACGTCACATATGTGACGCGCAAGGGGTTCCAAAATTATGCGATCTCCTGATTGCATGCCATGGCGAAGAAGGGAAGAAGGGGATGAGAGGATGAGAGGATGCATGAGGAACCAAGCGTATCAGTAGGTAATTGGGCCAGAGATCTCGTTGATGCCAACTTCAATTGCAATCTCCTCGTAAGTCTGGTGGCTCGAACTGCTGGGACTGCCGGAGATCGTCCATGTGACGCCATCATCGTCTGCAGATTCTCCGTGTGCTCTGCACCCTTGCCTCGTTATTGGAAGTTCACCCGACGGTAGTCGACAAGGAGGGGATGATGGAGGGGTCGGGGCCAATCAGATGGGAGCGGAGGGAAATAATCCTCCACTTCATCACCGAGATCGACGAAATGTACGATCCGATGTGCGCGGGGGAAATGATGATTGGGTCGAGATAGGGAAAGGAGGTAGTCGGGGTATAACGAGGGAATAGTGCGGAGGACGTTATCTCGTAGGGACTTGTAGTCCTCCATAGCAGGAACCCTCAAAATCTGCGCGCGTGGTTGGCCTGCGCACATCGGCCGCTGCAGGCCTATGCAAAAAAAAAAAAAAAAATCAAAAATTTGGGGGGGGGTTGATTTTTTATATGTTAAAAAAAAATAAAAAAAATAAAAAAAATAAAAAAAACAAATTTGATTGATTGATTGATTGATTGATTGATCGATTGATTGATTGATTGATTGATTGATTGATTATTGATTGATTGATTAATTGATTGATTGATTAAACGATTGATTGATTGATTGATTGATTGATCGATTGATTGATTGATTGATTGATTGATTGATTAATCGATTGATTTTTTTTATTTTATTTTTGATTGATTGATTGATTGATTGATTGATTGATTGATTGATTGATTGATT